TTCTCAATCTTTCACACATTAAACTCTAGTTTCTTACAAACTTAGGAGGCAAGCATGAAGCTGAATCAGCTTGCCTTTCATTTTCTGGTTATAATCTTTCACACATTAGACTTTGGTTTCTTACAAACTTAGGAGGCAAGCATGAAGCTGAATCAGCGTGCCTTTCATTTTCTCTCTTGCACATTCAGGCACTAGACAAGCCTCTCGAGTCATTTTCATTTAACTTCTTCAAATGTCAGGGTCTGCTGCATAAATCTCTGTCCACTGTGTAACTCTTTCTTAATGTTTTCTGATAGGTGTCACTTTGGGATGCCATTATACCTGCCAAAGAGCATGCAAAGTTTTGGTTTCAGACTGCGAACAAGTATCGTTTTATTGATCAGGTACCATCCTCATGAAGTGATTTCTTTACAACTCATCCCGTGCTTTTACACCCACACCCAGGAGCCACCTCAGGTGCTACTCTTGCTATGTTTCAGAAGTAAAACTTATCTTTCCATGTGCAGGGAAGCAATCTTCGCGGTAAAGAATTTAACTTGACATTGCACTGGCATGTCATGCCCAAAACTGGCAAGATGCTTGCCGACAAGTTGGTCATGTCTGGATTCCGCTTGCCTGAGGAGTATAGATAATGACGGGGCAATTTTTGGTTTTTTTTTTTTTTTTTGTTTTTAATCAACGAACATAGCCAATATCATTGCAGAGGGAATCGGATACATATGAAGACCCCTGGGGAGACTACAGGCCCAATTAGCTGGGCAATAGGGGTCTATACGCTCTGGCAAGCCAGTCTGCAGCCATATTTACCTCTCTTGTTACTTGAAAAACCCCCCCACTAAATATGGGATGATAAAGGTCAGTTTAACTTAATTAAGAATGATTGAGGAAGAAATGCGCACAGCTTGGATTTTTGAGTGCTTGTGTTTATTTTTGGGCATTGTTGAGTTCTTCTTGCTTATATTTTGGGCATTTCCTGCTCAGGCCCACCACAGAATCCCAATGTCTATAGGCAGTGGAGAGATTGCCGACCAATTTTTTTTTTCGAAGAGCGTGGAAACCTGTGAACTTTAGCGCTACTCTAATTTAATTTACGCCATGAGGCCATGCTAAAATTTCTAACTCATCGAACGGTTGAACAACAAGAAATCTAAATCCAACATGTTACTGCAGCATGCAAAACATGTTTCTACAGCACCAATTCCTTCTGCATTTTTGTTCTTCGCAGCTGATTTAAAGCCCCATCTCCTCTGGCTAGCTGAGTCTTCCATCGCCTAATCAAATCCTCTTACAATGTGCTCCTTACATTGCTTAAGCGGTCTTTACTCGTTTGTCTTGAATATTTTACGTAGGCATTAAATCCGGCCAGACTTCACAGGTTGAATAACTGAGTTTACACTGAGTTGACTAACTGACTTGAAATTTGGTTTACACTGAGTTTTCTTTCATCGGTTTGGACAGCATTGTCAAACTCGGATGACTTGAAAGGTAAATTGTATAGGGGTCGACTTGGCTACCCGATAACCAAGGACTCTTAGCTAGGTAAGATCCAAACCGAGTTTGACATTTGATAACTGGTTGTCGGTTTTCTACGTTTTTGAAAACAAGAACAAAAACTATTTTATGCTGTTTTGGTTGTGAAAAGTTTTCAAATTTGGTTTCTGAAAGTAGTGTAAACTAGTAGTGCAGGCTTCTGTACCTGTTTACAGGATTTACTTGCAGAACTACGGATTTCGGGCCGAAACTGATGCAAGTGCCAGCGGACATGTGAAATATTCTGCGCAAGGTTTGGCAACCACGCTCAGCTCTCCGTTTTAGCCAAAGCTACGCAAGTCTGGCAGCACCAAGCACAACTGCTTGATTGGTAAAACAAAAGACATTGTGACAGAGAACTTTCGCTTGGCACTTTTGGCTGCATAGTTCTTTCTACATGCAAGGGGTCTGAAATATTTTCCTGTTAAATTAACTTCTCTTTTTATATTCAAATTTGGCATGTTTTTAGCCTGTAAGAGTTCGAAAGCAATTTTCATGGATTAACTAATGTCTCTTCCACTCATCTGAAATACTTTCATAAATTCTGCAATTCAACATGTTTTCATGCTAGAGCTCGAAAATAAGCAACCGTTCTTGGTTGAAGCTCCTGCCTTGTATATCACAAGGACTTCTTGTAAGGTGGATTTGAATTGAGGTTTGCTTGGCTTGGCTTGGCTTGCATTGTATTGTTACTTGAGATGGTGAGTTAGCCATTAGGTGAGAGATTCAGTATCCTTGCAGTTTCTTTTCAGTGTCCTTGCAATTTCATGAACGGTGCTCATCGAATGGCTGCTAACCACTACAAAAACACAATTCATGCACCGTCAATGCGTTCTATTAACTTAGACAGAAGACAAATCTCTGCAATTAATGCGGATTATGAATTAATTTATGTTGATTAGTTCAACATTGAGCACTTCAATGTTATCTGGAATCAGTAAACTATGACTTTTAGAGCCTTATAAAACTAGCAGATGATGTTCTTCTTAACCTTTTGGATCAGCTGGTCGTCCTTGAATTCTTGTCTTTAGAGTCAGGCATTCAATTAGTTCATCCAATTTCTTATCAGATGATCCCCCTTTTTCCACGGCCTGCCTTGCCTTTCTCCCCAACTCCTGTGCCCTTTCCCTTGCCTTCTTCCCTTGGTCACCTCTCATCAACTCCTTCACTGAATCACAAATCACATTATGTTGAACGGTCATAGGGTCATCTTTTGCATCACGTTCTTGAAGGACCATGAGCCCTGCTTTTAGCCCCATTGCCGTATACCTAGCGTTCAATCCTTGCTCTGCTCCCATAGGCCAAGCCAACAGTGGCACACCCATTGACAAGCCCTCCAACACTGAATTCCATCCACAATGAGTCAGAAACCCACCAATTGCTGGGTGTTCTAGTATACCCCTCTGGTCTACCCAATCACGTATGACCAACCCTCTCTCCTTGACCCTGTCTTCCCACCCAACTGGTGGGACCCATGTTCTGGATCTGACCACCCAAATGAACGGCTGTCCTGCCATCTCCAAACCAAGAGCAATCTCCTCCATTTGTAAATCTGTCATATATGATTGTGAACCGAATGCCACATAGATCACATTACCTGGACCCAATCCTTCCATTTTCTGGTCCAGCCACTTGATGTACGGACTAAATTGCTTTTGATCAACGTCTTTGGAACCTGAATTCATCAAATCTTGTTTGCTTTGATCATGAAGCAGAAGTGGACCCACAAGCCATGCTTTGGTCTCCTTGTGATTTTCAAAGGCAGCAACATGGTCCCCTTCAAGCTCTTCAAAACTGTTAACTACGTAACCCCAACTATGACTCTCTGCCTGTTTGATCTCTGAAATAATTGGCAGCATTGGATGCTCTTCATCACCCCGCCAAGCAAAGTCAGGGAAGTCAGTTTTGTTTAATGGAAATGGAACTGATGGCAAATTTATAGGCTCAGAGTGGAGCAAACTAGAAATGCATGGAACATGCAACGAGGCATTTCTTTCAATTACCGTAGGCAACACACCCATCCCACTGAAGACAATCCTAGGAATATCGAACAGGCAACATGAATCAACTGTCCAAGGCAAAAACATGTCAGAGATAACGCAAATTGGAGTAGTGCTATCAGAATCACACAACTCTTTAAGGACATCCTCAAAAGGTTGTTGGAGTAGTTTGGTGGCATTTATAAAAGGGACAAAGAGATCCGGAGAAGGGAGATGGTTAACATTTTCACAACCTTCTGGTAATTCTTCAACTTTTGGAAAAGGGATTATGGACAAAGAGATTGTTGGGTGGGTAGAGTTTTTGGAAAGAATAAATGGAGCATTTGCTGGGGTGGTGATGATGGTTACTCTTGTGCCACGGCTGGCTAATGCCTTGGACAAGTCTAGTAATGGAAGAGTGTGACCCTGAGCCATGAATGGGAAAATCGCTACATGAGGTGGTGAAGAAGGACTGATTCTGTCCATTATTGACCAAATCTGTATATAAATCTGAATATCTTCTGTTCTGATGAATTTGTGAAGAATTAGTGCAAAGTAACTGGGTTTATATGTGTGATTAAATTAAACCACTGACATGATTCTTGATATCTCATGAATCCAACATATAAAGAAAGGTTAACCTATGATTGGAGGATAGTTTAGCATACCATTAATGGAAAATTAATTTATTTCCAAAGAGGATGGATCATTCATGCATGTACATTGTTCATCGAATCCTTCTTCTTACAGGGAACAAAGTAAACGTGACTTTTGATAGTTTCCATGCATGCATCTTCGATAAGAAGATTTTCCTTCGCAAAAATGATGGCGATAAAACGACGTCTCTTCACGGTAGCAAGATTCTAAACATCAATAAAAAAGAAGAAGAAGATATTAACTAGTCTATTAAATTGATAAATTAATAAAAGAGGGTTTAAATCATGAAATTAAGTCTCAGTAGTGACATTGATGGAAAAAAAATTTGCTAGTGACTTCAGAAAAGAAAAGCGACAGAAGATAGGCCACAGGTTTCTTCAGTCCAAGGGAGATTTAAGGTCAGCTTTCCATTATCTACCCCCTCAAAACCAGCCCCAGCTCCATTCAACAAGCACTTGATTGGACATACATTTGAGTACGATAAGAAATTCCCTTCTCCTTCAATCTCAACCTTCACCCAAGTCTCAGCTTCTTCAGAATCAAAATTGGCCACTTGAATTGTGCCATCACTATTGAACATGTTGGTCAGTCCAACAGGAGCAAATTTGATGCAAGAGCTGCCTAATTTCTTGCTTATGTTTGATTTTATGACCTTGTTGTCTATTTATAGACTCAAAACAACTTACCTTAAATATTCTTTATGTAAGGCATATTTTAGGAAAGTTAATATAAAAATTACTTAAAATACCTTTATAACCTTTAGTTATAAGAATATTAAAGTAAGAACCATAAAATATATTTATACCGAGTTTTTTTTTTTTAATACAAACCAAATAAATTTAATTTAGACCCACACCCAGTACATTTAATTTGTTTGGGTTTACTTGTAGAAATTGTAGTGTTTACATATGCAATAAAAACCATGAGACTTTCAATGAGCAAGCTTGGGCCTGGATAATTGCAGCATTCAATGAAAAATTTGGTCTATGTGACAGAGATGCCGTTGAAAGCTGGTAATTAAGATTGATGAAAGAGTATAGGAACATTGCAAATATTCTCAGTCAGAATGGTTTTGCATGGGAAGAAACAGAGCAGATGGAGATAGCTGATGATGATGACTGGTATGCGTATATCAAGGTATGTTTCCTTCTCAAACATAAACATGTCCTCATGGCTTACAGTTTTAACTCCCCTAGGTATGGCAGGCCTTCAATACCATTTAACCAAAATTTTTATTTGCTTCTCATTTTATGAATATTTTCTGCAGGAGCACCCAGGTGCAGACAGATTCCTGGACAGTTATAATGATATTTGTGTACTATATGGTAATAGCATGGCAATGGGAAAAGCAAGTCATCTGGGTGTAAAAATGGGGTTTGACAACAACGAATTCGATATGGGGATTGATGGCGTTTTTGGAGATACACCATATCAACTTGAAATATCTGACCCAAGGCAGAAACGATAGTCTCTTTCTTCCTCAGTGGTGGTTTCTTCAAGGAAAGTTGGCAGACACGGGAAAGGAGAGGCTCAAGAAGCACCTGGGTCAGAAACTAATGGTAGTTATGGAGGAACACGAAGAAGAAACCTGTCAATCGAAGTCATTGTCGATGCACTTCAAGCTATACCAGACATGGAAGACGAGATCTTCTCGGAAGCTTGTACACTTTTAGAAAATGAGGAAAACGCCAAGAATATTGCGGCAATGGAAGTAAATCAGCGAAGCAAATGGCTATTTAAAAAGCTTTACAGATAGCATGTCCGACTTAGCAACTGTGATTATCATTTGTAAAGCATACCCTTCCAAAATATTGTTATCCTGATCATCGGGACTTTTTCTGTTTCGTTTGCTTTAAGTAATCAGCATTTACCAGTAATCTCTGCATGAACAATAACCATCCTTGAAAGAGTGAAAGCGGCTTCTATCTCTCACCACGATCTCCAATTTATAAATCTGAGAAATAAGCTTCATCACTGCATGACAGTCCCTGCAAATCCTCAAATTCTTAACTATTCTTATAGTCCTCCCCTTGCACAACCTTGCAATACCAAAAGCTACAGCAACCTTTTCGCTATGCACTGACACTGAACCTTCCTTTTCTTCCTCTTCTATGTCATGTAAAACCCTTCCAATCTCTGGAACATAACCCCCTTCAACCCTAAGCCTCGTTATAATCTCCTTTAGCTTCTTGTAAGCCTCTTCTGTAATCTTATATTGTTTTGTGCCAGCCAAGAAAGTATACATGATTTTGTCAACTTCAATCATGCTCCAACCAGGAGTTTTGGTGATTCTCTGTTCAGTCATTGATCTTCTCACAGAAGCAGCATCCTTCCATTTCCCTGCAACTGCATAGGCATTTGACAGCAGAACATGGTCACTAGAGTTGTTGGGGTCTAGCTCTGAAAGTCTTTCTTTCACTTGTTCCGCCAACTTAACATCACCATGCATGCTGCAAGCCCCAAGAAGTGTCCGCCAAATAATTGCAGTACATGGAATTGGCATTTGACAAACAAATTCATAGGCCTTCTGAAGTTGACCAGCCCGACCATATAGATCGACCATGCAGCCATAATGCTCAATAGATGGTTCTATATTGTACATGCCTTTCATCTTATCAAAATATTCACATCCTTGTTCGACCAATCCAGCATGACTACAAGCATATAAAAGTGAAATAAAGGCAATCTCATCAGGTCTAATTCCAGACTCTTCCATCTTATGAAACATCCCTATTGCTTCTTCCCCATGACCATGCATTGCGAGCGCAGCCATCATCGAAGTCCAAGAAACAATGTTTCTTTCATTCATTATTCGCTCGAAAACTAGTTGAGCCATATGTACATTCCCACACTTGGAATAAGTATCCAATAATGCATTGTTAACTGATACAATCCAAGTCAACCCAGATTTCTCAATAAAGCCATGTAATATTTTGCCAAACTCAAGTGCACCAGCCTGTGCACACGCTGAAAGCACCCCAGTTAAGCTTGTCTCATTCGGCCTCATCCCCTTCCTCTGCAGCTCTCTGAAATAACTAAAAGCCTCTTCAAAATACCCATTATGAGCAAAACCAACAATCATGGTACTCCACGAGACATCATCCTTCATTGGCATCTCCAAAAACATCTCCCTAGCCAGTTCCAGCTCCCCAGCTTTCGTGTACCCAGCAAGCATAACATTCCACGACATCAAGTTCCTCACAGGCATCAAGTCAAACAATTCTCTTCCACCCTTCATATCACCACCCCTACAACACGCAGTGACCATCGCATTCCAGGCAATCGCATTTGGCTCAGGCATTTCATCAAATACCGTCCTCGCAAACTCAACAAACCCGCATTCCCCATACATACTAATCAAAGTCGTCCCAACAAAGAGATGGGTATCAAGCCCATGAACCAATGCTTGACAATGCAACTGGATCCCAACTCTCACAGACCTCAAATTCGCCGCCGCTTTGACAATAAAAGCGAAAGAAAAACTGTCAGGAGGAGAAAAAGAGTTCCTCCTCATTTCAATGAACTTAAGAAGTGAATCCTGGGGTCTATCTGACTCATAAAGTCCTCTAATGAGAGTGTTGTGCATGAAAACATCTGGGTTTGGAGTGTAGCGAAAGAGGCGGCAAGCATAGTCCAGAGAATCAGAGAGCGAAATCGCACAATGGTGCAATAGCTTTCCTGTGATGAAAGGGTCAGATTCAAGGCCGAGTTTGAGAACATTGGCGTGGATTTGTTTGAAAGTTGTCAGGCTCTTGCAAATATTCAACAAAGACAGACAGAGAGATTCTGTCTTGCTCATTGTGTACAGCAATGGCTTCCCAGGCCATGCTTTATTTTTTCTTTTTTGAATCTGGCGAAAACAACTTCTTTGAACCCTGTATTTATATTAGTATTCAATTTCACCCATGATTTAATTTTCAATTCACGCCCTCTATGCAAGCATCTCGATCTGTCATCGCAGAACTAATCCATGTCTGTATGTTGTTGACTTTTTCCAAGATCAACATCTTCTTATCCCCAGTAGCTCCAACCTCCATCGCCAAAAAAGTATCATTGAGTCTAGTCAAGGCATCTTCAAACTGACTCACACAATCCTTTATTGAAAAACAACTCCACCGCCGTGGACATGTGCCGCACTAGTAGAAAGAAGACGTGACAACGTTTCTGTAACACGGTTGAACCTGTATTAGGAATATGGAATTCGTTAAAAGCTATCTCTTCTCTATTTCTGTTTGTGTCAACATTACAGAAGAGAGCTGAAATTCCCATTTCATGAAGTTTACTTTGACAGTCACTTGCGAAGGAAACTTGTAACGTTTCTTTCACTTCTGGGAAACCTCGTTCTGTTCTGTTAGATGTTAGAATAGAATTCTAATAGGCCACTAGGCATGCACAATCAAACTGAACAAGTCATTGTAGATTCCAAGCGGGCCATTGCTCATAGTAAAATGTCCCAGGCTTGCAACCAGGGGGTGGAGGCTTAAGTGTTAAGCCCAGTCACCTCATGCAAGAAATGTTTAATGATAAGACTCTTCAATTTCCCATACATATGTCCCTTCATTCACGATGAGGTTTAAGACTTTTGACGGAAGAGATACCCTGCCAAAAGATTGCAACTACTCCATTTTCTTTTTGCCTTTTCTTTTGTCTTTTTGATTGAGAATTTACCTATTTATATTTATATTTATATTTAGATCATTTTCTTTTTCTTTTTCTTTTTGATTGAGAATTTAACTATTTATATTTATATTTAGATCATTTTATACATGATAAGTGTGAGAAGCCATCTTTTCTTATTTGTGTTTGTCATGTATACAGATCTGAAAGTGTGGGAGTTCCCTGTCTTTTTTGTTCTGAAGCTCACAATTCTTCGAACTGCACCTCTGGAATGGAACAGGTCCTACCTATCTGCGAACGTTGCTCTTTTCCCTGTATCCTTTTTGTATGCTTGCAACTCATGCATGCCATTAGATAATCCCATTGTAGTTGCTCTTTTCCCTGTATCCTTTTTGTACGCTTGCAACTCATGCATGCCATTAGATCATCCCAAAAGTGTGGGAGTTCCCTGTCTTTTTTGTTCTGAAGCTCACAATTCTTCGAACTGCACCTCTGGAATGGAACAGGTTCTACCTATCTGCGAACGAACCTCTTTTCCCTGTATCCTTTTTGTATGCTTGCAACTCATGCATGCCATTAGATAATCCCATTGTATTCCGTTTACCACTCATTCCCACTCTGGTTCGTAGTCCTTTTCTCAAGCTCTTTGCTCGCAGTTCTGCACTTTATACTCGAAAAGGAACCCCCAGAGACCGAGCAGATATTGCTGGTGCTTGAGGCATTTTTGTAATGGGTGTCTTTTGGATATCCACTGTTGCTGGAGAACTACTAAACTGCCTTGAAGCTCTTGGGATAGTTCTTGAAGTGCTCCCATCTCTCCTTGCGCTTATTGCACTTGCTTGGGGAAGTGGCGCAACTCTGCAATTTTTTTTTTAGTTGAGCTATTCACAATAATATAGCCTATATATTTAAAAAATAAATAAATTGTTGTTACTAATAACGCAACCCAGCCATATATTATTCTCACATATATTTTTTATAACTGTGCTAGTTTAAAGAAAAATTGAAACTTGTTATTTGGAAAAAAATAAAATTGATATTGTGTAGTTTCTATAACAGTTTGAAATTATGTTTAAATTTTATTTCTTTATATTGTTTTGATAGGATAACGCAAAAAATTATTTTTTTAAAAATAATAAAATATTATTTTTAAATAATAAAATTTAAAATAACAGAGTAGCAAACACAGATAAAACTGGACAGAACAAATCCAAGTTCTGATTTGACATTAAAAAGGTAATTTACGTAAAGGGTAATTTCGTCAAAAAGAAACAAAAGAGACAGAAGCCACAAAAGGGCAACCTTCTGACACATAGTCAGAAGGGAACACAAGACAAAGCACATCACAAGCAGCTTTCGTTTCCAATCTTAGGTTTGTTCCTATGAAACATTACCTCATCGTCATATATAAAAACCGTCATAACTCATGCCTCCAACTTTGCTGATCCATCATCAAACCCCTAAATATAAATAAATATATGGACACCGAATTTACATGAAGTAGATCCCATATTTCTTATCTTGCTAAAAGTTCTGCTTTTTATTCTCTTCTTCAGGTTCTTGATCTTGCAAGCAGAGAGTACAAGCTCTGCAGAAGGGAAAGGTAACCACACAATCTCTTATCTTTCATGTACACGCATATACGAACATATGCATGTCACTTACTGTGTGTTGTTGCTTTGCTCAGCGATCTTGAGAATTAGAAACCGAAAAGATAGATGGGTTTTGCTTTTCATGTGATTTTAGGAAAGTTTTGTTTTGTTTGGTTAGAAATCCAAGCAGGTATGAGGCTTTTTGGATTTATGGATTTGGTGTGTGTATCTTTTTTTCCTTTCTTTTTCATCAATTGAGTTTTGTTTTAAGTATTGATTTCTATGTGATGTGATGTGATGTGATGCTGCTTGTGGTACTGTAAATGGATTGCAATTTCTTTTGTTTGTTTATTTAGGAAGAGTGTTTGTAATTTGCTTTACCTTTTGGTGTGTGCCAAAAAATTACCAGTAGAAGATCAAGATCATCGCTAGTTTGTTTTGGGCCCATAGTTGATCGCCTGTAGGCATAATGCAACACTGGAAGAGCTGTTGCAAGTAAATCAAACTCGTTTCATTTAAACATAAAGAAAAAACAAGGAAGATGATTGAAATCTATGTTAATATTGTAGTGATTATGGAGTTACTATTGGTAATGGTTTCGGGGTTTTTATCATTTTCTTTGTTTTTTCGTTTTAGCATCAATGTATTTTGTCTGAACCCTGCTGTGAGAAGAGGTAGCTGTTTGCATATATCTTGGGGATTCACTTCTAGAATAGGAAGCAAAACGATGATGTACTGCTAAAAGGTTTGGAAAGTTAATATTATTCTGTTTCGGTTTGGGAGCTGAATAATGTCAACTAGAAACGAATTTCTTTCTATAATTGCACTTTGTTGTTGTTGGGCAGGCCTTCTCCGTCCCATGTGGGCATAATAAATGTTAGAAACCGTACCTTTTGAATCTAACCATTGAAACATCACGGTTACATGGTCTTTTTTGTTTTTCCTAGCATAAAGAAGATAAATTCCTATCAAAAGGTGCCAAACAGAAAACCATTTCATTACCATGCTTGCATGTGAATTAAGTCTCATTGAAGTCATTGACTGATGGTGAGATATACCCTCATTGATCGAAGTGATAATATCCACAATAGCTCTATCCATGATAAAAAGCAAGTATGATGCTGTTATTCTGCATTTTAAGGCTCTGACTTTACCATTTCTTGGATCTTTTTGCAGAGAACTTGTTCATTCATTTATTTTTTTTAATCAAACAATCTTGAATTGCATTTCCAGCATTTTTTTCTTTTTAATTATGTAGAAACCTAATTGGATATTATGAAGTTGGATTTGCATCATCGTTTAGTTGCATCTGTTCTGCACTTTAGAGAATTGCCATGGCTTAACCAATTTCTTTCACGCAATTTCCTTTCAACATGAAATAATTGCCATGGCTTAACCAATTTCTTTCATGCAATGTCCTTTCAACATGAAATCATATGATATATATATCTATACACTGCAAGTTAATGCTTAACTCAGTTTGCCATGTTTCCTCTTCTATCGTGCTAAAAACAGAGGCATTAAGTTGCATATTGTTGCGTTTAGTTGGATCAGAATGGAGCAAGGGCATGGACAGCCCCCTGCTATTGTCAGTAGTACATCTCAACTGCAATATGGAACAAGTCCGTATCAGCCAAACCAAATGCTTGCTGCCTCAAATCCTGGATCAGTTACTGGTCAGCCTGTGGGAGCTCAGCTTGCACAGCACCAACTTGCCTATCAGCAGATCCACCAACAACAGGAACAGCAACTCCAGCAACAACTTCAGTCTTTTTGGGCAAATCAGTATAAAGAAATTGACAAAGTTACTGACTTCAAAAATCATAGCCTTCCCTTGGCTAGGATCAAGAAGATCATGAAGGCTGACGAGGATGTGAGGATGATATCAGCTGAGGCACCAGTTATATTTTCCAGAGCATGTGAAATGTTTATTTTAGAGTTGACATTGCGATCTTGGAATCACACGGAGGAGAACAAGAGAAGGACACTACAGAAGAATGATATTGCTGCAGCTATCACTAGGACTGACATCTTTGATTTCCTGGTTGACATTGTGCCTAGGGAGGATCTGAAAGATGAAGTGCTAGCATCAATCCCAAGAGGAACAATGCCTGTCGGAGGACCTGTTGATGCACTCTCTTACTGCTATATGCCACCTCAGCATGCACCTCAGGTTGGAGCTCCTGGGATGATAATGGGCAAGCATGTGACGGACCCAGCTATGTACGCCCAGCAGTCTCACCCCTATATGGCACAGCATATGTGGCCACAAGGATCAGAGCAACAGCAGTCGCCCTCAGAACATTAGTAACTTTAGAAATGTAAGCTCTCTTTACCTTACCCACCATTGCTTTGTGTCTAATGACCAAGACCAGGTTGATCAGATGAGCATGTTGTACATGAATGCTTTCACGTAACTGATAGTGGCAAGATTTGTATCCTTCTCATTAGAATGCTTTTCATACGCTCCTTTTCTAGTAAAAACCATCAATAGATATCACAGTTCGTGCTGAAGATTTCGGTAATAGTGGTTTGTATGATCAGATTTTATAGCTTTTCGTTTCCTACAAATGTACTTGATAATTGTTGAGCCATTAACATCATCCTTTCGTTATGGTATGTGAACTCTGGTTTATTCAATGTGGAATTTTCTCTCTTTTCACTTTTTTTTTTATCCAATTAATCCCAAGAGGAACAATGCCTGTCGGAGGACCTGTTGATGCACTCTCTTACTGCTATATGCCACCTCAGCATGCACCTCAGGTTGGAGCTCCTGGGATGATAATGGGCAAGCATGTGACGGACCCAGCTATGTACGCCCAGCAGTCTCACCCCTATATGGCACAGCATATGTGGCCACAAGGATCAGAGCAACAGCAGTCGCCCTCAGAACATTAGTAACTTTAGAAATGTAAGCTCTCTTTACCTTACCCACCATTGCTTTGTGTCTAATGACCAAGACCAGGTTGATCAGATGAGCATGTTGTACAGGAATGCTTTCACGTAACTGATAGTGGCAAGATTTGTATCCTTCTCATTAGAATGCTTTTCATACGCTCCTTTTCTAGTAAAAACCATCAATAGATATCACAGTTCGTGCTGAAGATTTCGGTAATAGTGGTTTGTATGATCAGATTTTATAGCTTTTCGTTTCCTACAAATGTACTTGATAATTGTTGAGCCATTAACATCATCCTTTCGTTATGGTATGTGAACTCTGGTTTATTCAATGTGGAATTTTCTCTCTTTTCACTTTTTTTTTTATCCAATTATTTTGAACATCTGCATTTATGTTCATATTGCTCGGTTTACTTGCTCCGTATATGGTTTCATTGATGGAAATATTTTTTGAATGTCTTACAGAATGGAAATATCCCTCATGAAAAGGTGCGGTCAAGAATGGAGCTGAAAAGATTATAGCTGATTGAGCTTTCTTTTACAGCCCCTTCTAGACTTTGATGTTAGCCTCTCATTTTTTTATGAGCAAGGCAGGTCAAAACATGTATAAATGGAATTTGTATTGTTCGATTCCATGTTTAGCACACAGAACATATTTATTTTTTTTGGTTTTGTTCTCTCTATGTTTATGTTCACACCTTGACAGTATTATGGAAATGTGAAAAGAACCCCCTGAAATTTGCAAGCTGTATGGCTCCCAGGATAGATTGTTTTTACCCGACCACCTACCTAACACCACGCAGGCTCGTCAAACAGTATTAATTATTCTGATATTAAATTATTTTTTATTTTTAATTGTATTTTATTTAAAAAATTAATATTTAATATTATTAAATAACACTATATAAATTAAATAAAAATCATTTAATAATATAATATTTTTAAAATTTGATCGTGATTTTAATTTTATTTCTGATGATATTTAACACAATATTATTATGCTTTTAAAAAACTATAAAAAAATATAGTTATTATTGGATGTATTTTATTGGTAATAAAATTATAGATAGTTTAATGAAATAATAAAAAATATTTTATATAAAATATTATTTATTTTATAATATAATAATACTATTTAAATCTATAATATTTAAATTAAAAATTATAAACATAAATATATATTTATTAAAATTATTTTATAATTTTAATTTTAAAAAATATTTTTAACAAAATACATTAAAAAAAAAGTATGGCCTAAACTGCGTTGTAGCATCAAATCTAACAGAGATCGTTTAGCCCCTTGAAGCTTTAATAGACACTTTTAACATGACTCTGTGTTATGGGAACAGATTCAATAAACTTCTGTCTTTCATTGCCTTGAGAGGAATCGCTATAGTTCATTGTTCATGTGACCACACACAAACAGCAAGCATAATTAAGCTCTCTATAGCCTCAATATTTTCTGGCTTCACTACCAATCCGATGCATAAAAATGTAGAAAGAGAAGAATAGGTGGCAACAGGGTAAATAATGAGACTATGTTTTTATTTGGGAGATGTGTTCTCGGAAAGACATCAGCATTCTTTCCACTTTCTCATGCAAAGGGGAGACCATCAAGTAGATATGGTCAATTCGTTTGTCTACTAGTTTGATTCCCGCATTGAAACAAATTTTTTTATAAATAAAAAAAAAGTAATAATAAATGTTTTTTTTGTTGATTACAATGGAAGGAAATTGAGATAAAGATATTAAAAAAGTTATGGAAAAAAAAAGAAAAAGAAAATACTATGAGTAACTATTGCAAACAACAAATTGTGTCTTTCTTCTAAAATTGTGTCTTTGATATTGCAATTGTATACTAACTTATAATCTTCAACCCTGGCTTAGATAATTTTAGTTAGGTTGATGCAATTGTTCTAAGAGAGTATTGATATCTCATAGAATGCACCTTCTTGCATATTATACATGTATGTCTTCTTCTGGAGGTCCCACTTGGGATGTGCCAAGAGGAAGAAAAGATGGAAGAATTTCGAAGGGCAGTGAAACCATGCAATGACCAGCTCCCACCTTTAACATTTCCCTATTACAGCAAAGCTTCTTCCAAAGAGGTTTTTCTCTTTGAAAGATCTAAGTAGCTCCTTCATGTAACGTATTCAATGGCTCATCATGAAAACGTTGATCCATTACAAAATCATGCATCCGATCAAGATACACACACACACACACGTGTGTGTGTGTGTGTAGGGGATCACACTCTTGGATTCTGTCATTGTTCCCGCAAGGATCCTCTCGTTGTTCATCATTCTAGAACTGAATCCACAGCTTCAGTACCACTCTTGACGTGGATCCAACATTGAACCCAATTTTCGGAACCAGTCTAAGGAGTGTCTATCTTGCACATAATAAGGTAAAAAAATGCAGGTGCTACAATGGACTCTTCAAAGGCCACATTTAACAATGCTTGCTATAAGTTGGTACTCCAAGGAAATAGTCTTATCTGATCTGCAAAAAAGTGAAAGAGACAATGAGGGATAGAAAAAAAGAGAAGGAAAGAAACAATGGGAAGGGGGGTTTCGTAATATGGACTCTATTCTCTCTCTTTTTTTCATTTGATCCTTCTACTCAAAATGTTCTTAATGTGGCCCGTTCATCCAACTTCCATCGGATTTATCTTTATTATTGATTGATACTTGGCTTGGAATTTGATAGAAATTTTCTATTTTTCCCCATATGTTGTGAAGAATTAACGGTAAACTGAAATAAAGTTAAACAGAGGGACATCATTAAGAAATTTTCTAAAGGAAAGGGACCAATTGAATTAAATAAAGAGTCTAAGCACCACATCAGGAAACTTTCAAGATTTACAGGAACCAACTGAAAAAATAAGATTCATATTTGCTTAAGTTAAATTCAGCCATTGAAGCATGAATTAGGACACAAAAACCCAACAAATCCATTAAGTTGAATTGAAAAAATGGACCAGCAGGACTCTAGCAGCAACAAAGAGAATCAATCTTGCTCTTCAAGTGACTCAAATCCATGCCCCATATGCCTTGCTCCTTTCCTTCAAGAATCCTATCTTGACACTTGCTTCCGTACATTCTTCTCTCAAGCTCAGTTTGTTCTCTCATTTTTTAGTACTTTTATGTTATCTGTTATGACTGATCTCACCTTTTTTTAAGAATTTTCTTGTTGGGTATCCACTTTCTTGATTACCCTTTAATTTATACTAATGTTTTCTTCAAGTGGTTAGTGATTGAGTAATTAAAGTTGAAAACTTTATGATTGTGTTGTGTGTTATGCATAATACTGAAACTGGGTTTATAGGATTGTTTGAGAAATTTGACTACAATTTTGTCCGTGCTTGGTTTGAGGTTGCAAGTTGCTACTTTATGGCAATCAATGTATCTGTGCTTGTGTGTATGCGGGTGGTGATTAAAAGGTTGTGGACCATGATGTTTGGTCATTTGTTGCTATTGATTCTTGTATTGCAGATAAATTTTGTTACAAATGCATTTTACAATGGACTAAAGTAGTTTCTCGCAAGGAATCTCGGCGGCCTTCTTCTGTTAAATGTCCTTTATGCAAGGTTTGTGTGTCTGAGATGAATTTTCCAGTAATGTTTTATGCATTTTAATCTCACGCAACAATGCCATTTGTTTGCTTTGTTATTTATGGACATTGCTATCTCTGTGATTGTGTTGACAGTGATGATTTGGTTTGACACATTTGCAGACGGATAATTTTTCGTTAATTTATGGATATGATGGAAATTCATTCCAACGACATTATGTAAATCAGGGTTTTGAGGACAGGTACCTATGTCTGTTATTTCATCTTCCGTCCTCTTTTGTGTTATTTTTTGGTGCTGTTCTTTATGTTACTCTTTTTTTAATTTTTTCAGTTCATTCTTTTCAAAAGCACACAAGTACAGATTACAGTGCTATTATACTGAACCAGGTCGTTTACTGATTCTCTCTCCTTTTTTTGACATATTGTTTTAATTTGTGTTTACTTTGATGCTTCCTGACAAACAACTGCTTCCTATTTAAATTTTTCAATCATTATGTGTTCAATCAGGTATCCTGAATGACACAATTAATGTATCACGATATTGGAAGTTGCGCAAGTATCTTCAACCAAATCGGTGGCTGCAAAGTTGGCTGAGAAGAGAAGTTCAAGCTCTGCTGCAGGTCTGTCTATTACCTGTTTGCTTTTGATTTGTATTCTTTGCACTTTTACTTATTACATGCTTGGATGTTTCTCTGAAATTCAATTCTCTAGCTTACTATGCATTTTTAAACCTACTTCAAGAACGAGAACAAGACAAATATATTTTGTAGAGTACTAGTGCTTGTAAATTTGTAGCTTCTTAGGAAAATGATTGCTTCTCAGCTCCCTCCGAGGTTCATATTATTGGCTTTAGTAAATGGCATCATAACTACATGTGTGCAATTAGTGGAGATACTTTCTTGGATGTACATCCGTTGACATATTTTGTACATTCTTAATTGTAGTCATATGACTGCGCAACACTTTCCTGTGAAATCTGGTAGTTGCTAACATTGTTAATTTAAAATTTTGGTTGTTGTCAGTAATTGTTTGGTGTGTAGAAAGATGCCTAAAGGAAAAGGGCAAAAAAAGAAGAAAAAGACAAAGGAGAACCTCCATGTGTCTAAGCTACCCCATTTACAGATGATGGCCTCTGTTTTATGAACTTGGAATATTATTAATTGTTAGTA